GAGGATTTGTAAGATTGACAGGGGAAAGGCAATCTTTGTATTAAATTTCATATCGCCTACTTTCACCCAAAATTAAACTTCTAGTTTTGGCTAGGATTAGTCGTTAAGACTGATGACACACTGTCCAAATATCAGTGCATCTGTCTCTGAGCAGTGCCAGTACACTGCTCTGAGTGGGCAGCTGTAATCCCACAAATATTGAGTTTTTACTTGCCGATAATGAGTTCCTGGGAGCTGTCAGTAGAAGATTAAAGCTTTATAACTACCAACATGGTGTCATTTGTAATATGCAAAATGAACATTCTCATTGTAAAAGGAAGTTTTATATCATCTAATTTTTCAAACAATAGAAAAGTATCAACACTTTGAAATGCGTTGCTCAACAAAAGACGCTGTAGGGAGATAGAAGATGAATCATACGGATGGAGCACACATTTCCCTAAAGAACTAATTGGGACAACTTTCTGCCTTTTTGCTTGCTGATTCTATTGCTAATTATAATATACATTTGAATGGGCTGCTGTAGCTGCGGGAATCACAGGGAAAATGTTCCCCACCCTTTTTTCAAAGAGTAGCCAAACGGAACCACATATTGCTGCGGCACCATGAGGTTTCCTGTACCAGAAAATGTGCTGTGTTTTTTATGCGTGGGGGTGCCGTTAGGAATTAATGATACCTCTGCATGTCTGCTAATTTCTTTCTTTCTTTCTTTCTTTCTTTTTCTCTTTTTTTTCTCTTTCTTTCTTTCTCCCTTTCTCTCTCTCTTTCTTTCTTTCTTACTTTTTTCTTTCTCACTTTCTTTCTCTTATTTCTTTCTTTCTTTTTTTTTTCTTTCTTTCTTTCTCTTATTTTCTTTTTCTTTCTTTCTTTCTTTTTTTCTTTCTTTTTTTTTCTTCTCTCACTTTCTTTCTCATTCTTTCTTTCTTTCTTACTTTTTTCTTTCTTATTCTGTCTCATTCTTTCTCACTTTCTTTCTTTTTCTTTCTTTTTCTCTTTCTTTCTTATTCTTTCTCATTATTTCTTTCTCATTCTTTCTAATGATACCTCTGCATGTCTGCTAATTACTTTCTTTCTTTTTTTCTTTCTTTGCTTTCTTTCTTTCTTTCTTCTTTTTCTCTTTTTTCTTTCTTTCTTTCTTTCTTTCTTTCTTTCTTTCTTTCTTTCTTTCTTTCTTTTCTTTCTTTCTTTCTTTCTTTCTTTCTTTCTTTCTTTCTTTCTTTTTCTTTCTTTTCTTTCTTTCTTTCTTTCTTTCTTTCTTTTCTTTCTTTCTTTCTTTCTTTCTTTTTTTCTTTTCTTTCTTTCTTTCTTTCTTTCTTTTTCTTTCTTTCTTTCTTTTTCTTCTTTCTTTCTTTCTTTCTTTCGTTCTTTCTTTTTCTTTCTTTCTTTCTTTCGTTCTTTTCTTTTTTTCTTTTTTCTTTCTTTCTTTTTCTTTCTTTCTTTCTTTCTTTCTTTCTTTCTTTCTTTCTTTCTTTCTTTCTTTTTTTTCTTTCCCCTCATGCACAATGGATGTTTTTACAGCTGCTGTTTTGGGCTTTTGACATTTTTTTTCTACAGCTAGTAACCCCCCCCAGCATGTTATCCTATGTGTCCATGCACACATACCGTAATCAATGTTTTTTGGCTGGAAAAAAAACCCTGAACTAGTAGGTTTCTAGAGGAGTTTTTTTATCTGTAAAAGCATTCCAACGCTGAAACAGGTAGCAAAATGCGGTAAAACGCAGCAAACCAGGGTTTTTGGACTAACGCTAATGTAAAACCGCTAAAAAAGCTGAAAAACTCATGTTTACACAGCTAACGTTACCAGCGTTATCAAAAGGTGCAGTGTGCATGAGGACTTAGTCCTCATGCACACTTGACGTTTTTACATGCACACATGGACTGTAATCAATGTTTTTTGGCTGGAAGAAAAAACAAGGACTAATGTGTTTCTAGAGGAGTGTATTAGCTGTAAAAAATGCTCTAACACTGAAAATGCTGTAAAAAGCAGTGACTTTTTTTGATTAAAAAGCAAATAAAAGGGTGGCCTAGTGAATAGCACTTCTACCCTGTAGCACGGGGATCTTTGGTTCAAATGCCAACCATGACATTATTGGCATGGGGTTTGCATGTTCTCTCTGTGTTTGTGTGGGTTACCTCCCATGTATTTAGGGTATTTCCAATCATATAGCCAATTGGCCTTAGTATGTGAGCTAGGGACCATAGACTGTAAGATGCTTGAGCACAGGGACTGATGTGAATGTATATACAAAATGCTGTATAATTGGTGCTCGTATATAAATACTACTGTAATAAAAGGCAGTTGACAAAACAAATTATTATAAAATTGACCCAAATCATCATGGTTTCCATGCCATTACAATTATCTCAGTGCATTACTCCCCCCCCCCCAACTCCTCTCCTGTCCCCAATCCAGTGATCCCTAACCCTAGGTTCACACCTAAGCGTTTTCTGCAGCAGTCCATTTAACATAATTTCCTATGGAACATGTTCACATCTTTGCGTTTTCACCCGGTGCATTTTGGAAACAAAAAGTAGCACTTTTGGTTCTATAGACTTCAATGGAAACGCTGCAGAAAATCATGTATTGCATTTTTGCCTCGTTTTTGATGTTTTAGCATTTTAAATCTACCTAGCAACAAGGAAAGAAATTAGCAAAATGCGCCAAAAACATAAGTGCCAAAACGCAGAAACAGCTCAAACACAACCTGCATAGGTGTGAACCTAACCTAATCAATAACTTAGATCGCTGGTGCAATGCTTTACAGGCTCCAGAAACAAAAATTAAGAAAAGGAACATTTTTTTACCTGTAAAAAATGTGCATTTATTGGGTTTTTTTTGTTAAAAGGTGAACTTATTCTTTAAGCCAGAGATAGCCAGGCAAGAATAGGCAGGACAGAGCACCGGAGAGCCCCTTTGGCTGTGGAAGTCAACACGGCAGTGGAGTCATAGACAGTGATTAACACAGGAGATCTTTTGTTTTCTTTTTCCGGTTGAGTTTTGCAGAAACTCAGTACAGTCCATTTCCTATGGAACATGTTCACATCTCCGTATTTTCACCCGGTGCGTTTTTTGGAATGGGTCAGAGACTTTTTTGGATCCAAAAGGTTGCATTTTTGGTTCTATAGACTTCAATGAAAATGCTGCAGAAAAGCGTGTATTGCGTTTTTGGCTCGTTTTTGGTGCGTTTTATGTTTTAAATCTGCCTGTACAGGGCCCAGGCAGCTGGGTGAATGGGATGTGGGCAGGGAGGATCATCGACATGGTGGGGGGTGTGGGGGGGGGATTACTGGAACCGATCCCCTGTATGGCTCTCTCTGCAGCATCTGAAAGCAGACTTCTACTCCTTTCCCTCCCATTGGCTTTCAGCTGCTGCAGAGAGAGCCATACAGGGGATCGGTTCCAGTAATTGCCCCCCCCCCGCCACACCCATCACCCTACCTGTGCACCATACATTTCCCCCTGCTGCCCAGACCCCCCACAGTGCTTACGGCTCCCCCTTTCCTTCCCAATGGCAGCTGCCAGCACACAATAGAATGCTTCTGGATGGAGAATGGGGGAAGGGTCCAGTAAACATGTCACATTTACCAACCCCCTTCTTTCCTAAGTGAACACAATGAATGATCAGTACCAATCACTTGCTGTGTCTATTCATAAAATGTTGTGATCAGACTGGCCCCCGCAACCCCCCAATCCCTGTCTTGACAGCTAGCGGAGGATCTTCTCTTCCCCGCCAGCTGTCAAAAATCTTTAAAAAGTGGCCGTGCGGGGCTCCGCCTGCCTGGCCGCGTCAATCTATCACAGTATCCTGCGAATGAGAAAATTGCAAGTCCACAGCACCGTGATAGTTCATTGAGTCTTTCTGACAGCAAGTATCTGCTTGCCCGGGATGTACAAACCAGCAGATATACTGACAGGTCAGGGGGAGACCTGCATCGCTGGTGCAATGCTTTACAGGCTCCAGAAACAAAAAATAACTGCACATCTTTTTACCTGCAAAAAATGTGCATTTATTGTTTTTTTGTTAAAAGGTGAACTTATCCTTTAAGCCAGAGATGGCCAGGCAAGAACAGGCAGGACAGAGCACAGGAGAGCCCCTTTGGTTGTGGAAGTCAACATGGCAGTGGAGTCATGGACAGTTATTAAGACCCAACAGGAGATCTTTTGTTTTCTTTTTTCAGGTTGAGCACATTTTCTGCTAGTACACAAAAATACCTGTTGATCCTGCCAGGATCCTAGTCTCCTTGTAAATTCCTGTGCAGTAAACTGATATATCAAGTATGTTATTTGTTTCTCCAGCTATCTTCTGTGAACTACAAAAGAACACCTCCCTATGTATTGGGGATGAGGAGAGGGGTTTGCAGTCCAAATTAGGAGAGCAAGCTAGGGTGACAACCAAGGCTACTGCTAGAAACCACAGGACCCCTTACAGCTAACCTGCCAGCCCCCCCCCCCCCAAAAACAAATCACAGTTTACTATGCTTCAGTTATGAATGAACACAGTGAATGATTGATACCTACCACCCATTGTGTTCATTCAGGAAAGGAAGGGGCTGGTAAATGTAACATATTTACTGGACCCTTCCGAGTGTGTGTTGTCACCCCAGGACAGGAAGCGTGTTAATGGCAGGATCACCAGGTGAAAATAAAAGATCTCAGTGTCCTTGTAACATCCTGTGCAATAAACTGATATATCAAGTATATTATTAGTTTCCCAAGCTATCTTCTATAAACTGCAAAAAGAACGCCCTCCCTATGTAATGGAGATGGAATGTGGGGTTTGTAGTACAAATTAGGAGAACCTAGGGTAACAACGCTGCTCCAAAATAGTCCCAGTGCAGAGTGAGAGTTGTCATTCTCAGACAGGAAGTATGGTAATGGCAGGATCACCAGGCGAAAAGAAAAAGAAAAAAAATGAAAAAAGAAAACTAACACAACCATCATATCTAAAGGCCAGAAAGCTGCACTATAATACCTTTTCTTTTGGGTTGGGGTTTAGACACACTTTAAGTCACTTTATATCAATTCATGATTTCTGTGTGTTATTCGACAGAGTTGGTAAAGGAGTATTTTCTGCCATGAAGCTCGGCAAGACACGTCCACCGAAAGATGACGGCAGGAGACAAGGTAATGTGATTCCACTACTTCTACCGATCCCCCTCTCGGCTCACAATAATTATTTAATGCGATGCTTGATCCAGGACCTCGCAGGAAACGCTTTCAACACCTTATGTGCTTTTCCAGCAATGCTACATTTCACTATATCATTTATTTATTATTGAGCCGTTCTTAGAAATAGTCCACCCTAAACAGATATTTCAGTTTCAGATACAGGGAACAGAAGGGTACCGGGTGGGGATTTCAGGTGTGCCCCCCCCAGGTGTCACCAATTGAAGGGGCAGGCATCACCAGGTGCATGGATATATTTTTTGTGTTTGGAAAAGTAACATTAGGCAGACCAATGTAACAATAAATAACATAGAACATCTCATACGCGGTTTGTTTTTCGGTTAATTTCACAAGCTGCAATGGGGCTAATAAAAACATGTAATTCTATTTTGAATTATTGGCTTTTCAAAATTTTCATTTCAACAAAGATAGATAGCGAGAAATTAAATTTTTAATGAACTTCCAGAAATGGTAGTATAAGAAATTAAAGTAATAAGGTGCTAAAGCGGAACTCCGGACTGAATACAAAGCTGAAATAGCTGCAAAAGGAGTTGTACTTATGTCTATGCAGGCCTGAAATTTACACAGACATGCCACATAGCACAGATCTGTCTGGCAGGGCAGGAGATAGTTTCCTTTGTTGCAGTTCAATAACTCTTACAGGCAGGGGCGTGTTTACCACAAGGCACTTGCCTAGGGTGGCATTTTTCAGGGGGGGCAACAGCATTTTTGCGGGGGCTGAGCCATCCCCCAAAAGAAGGAACACACACAACACGGGGACCAGGTGGGATCTGAGAGAGGCTGTGGGCTGTTTGATGCTGTATGCAGAGCCTGACTCTTGTTCCCGGGGATGTCCAGAGCTGTGAAAGTGAGTGTCTTATCTGTTGCTGGGGGGGGGGAGGCGGGGGGGGGGTTGTCAGTGTATGGGGGGCAATGGTAGTGGAAGGCTCTCTTGGGTGATGATTGGGGGGGGCTGGGGTGTTGTTGGTCAATGTCAGGCTCTCTTCATGGTAAAGGGGGGTGTTGGTCGATGTAAGGGAGTCTCCGTGGGGGGGGGGGGGGGGGGGCAATTTTTGTGTTGCCTAGGGCAGCATGAAACCTAAATACACCACTGCTTACAGGTCTTGTCTTTCCTCCATCCTGTGATTGAACAGTGAAAGAAGAAGAGACAGGCTGATGAACTTCTCTCTATGTCACTGATCTCTCTTTTCTCAGCATGCTGATAGCCAAACGTCAACCAATTGGCTAGTTGTGCTGCTTCTCCCTTCCCTGCTGTACAGAAACCGCACGGGTACGATGCTTCAATTTCAGGTTCTTATACTGCTTACGTAAAAAAAAAATACATTTAATGGTTTATTACCGCTTGCAGACCTCCCGCCCACAATCTACCACGGGCGAGTGGCCTGCACAGGCAAAGCGATGTACCAGTACATCGCTACCTGTTTCCAGGTTTCAATGCGCTCACCCCATTCCGCCCACTCCCGCTCAGAAGGAGCATATCAGCAAGTCCCAGCCAATGATTCATGGCCAGGACCTGCTGATCAGCTGTGTACAATCACAATCCAGAGCTCTGTGTTGACATTCAATACAGACCTCTGTACAGAGGGAACAATCTCTCTGTTTCTTATCTCTGCAAAGCAGGGATGAGAAACTAAGAGATCATTAACAAAAATCAGCACATTTTACACAGTGTACAGTGACAGCATATAGTATTGTCACTGATCACTGTATTAATGTCACTGGTGATGTCATTGCAGTTAGTCAGTTCCCCCCAGCAGTTCCCCCCAGTTAATGTCAGATTGGCCGCCGCACTATCGCAGCCCCATTATAAGTCGCTGATCACCGCCATTAGCAGTTTAAAAAACAAATTCCACTATTTATAACATAGTCTGTAGCAGGGGCGGACTGACAATCATGGGGCCCCTGGGCAATAGGGGATCATGAGGACCCTGTGTCCTTGCCCACACTCAAACCGCACCCAAAAAATCCACACAAAGAAATAAAAAAACAGTGGTGATCAAGTACCACCAAAAGAAACCTTTTTTTGTGTGAAAAACATTATATACATTTCATTAACATACAGCACTGCATGATTACATTTACCAGTTACTTACCGGTTAAAGTAGTGCAGTGCCAAACAGCAAACAAGTGGGCCTGGTCATGAAGGGGTAAAACCTTTCCGGAGCTTAAGTAGTTAATAAATGCAGAGCTGCATTCATTTTTATAGCTGCCGGGAGCAGGGGCGGACTGACAACTCATGGGGCCCCCGGGCAATAGGGATCATGGGGCCCCTGTGTCCTCGCCCACACTCAAACCACACCCAAAAAAGCCTATGAAATTTACCAGGGGCATCTCATGGGGCCCCCTACTGACCCTGAGTGCCCGAATGGTCAGTCCGTCTCTGGCCGGGAGTTTAGCTTTGAAAAAAAGCGCACAGAAAAAAGTGGAATATCTGCCCATGGTGACAAGTCAGGCTTTTATTTTTAAACAATCATTCTGATTGGTCACATCTCTTTTGCAAATCCACTGAGAAGTAAGTGACACCACAAGTCTACTAACACTGGTGGCACTGCCATCTTGGAAAAGGCGGGGTTTTGCTTCCTCATGTCAGAGCTGACCCCCTGGCAATCTGATGACTGGTGAGGGAATATTCAAGGAGCAAAAGAGATGCCGGAAGTAGAGATTCACAGAATGGATAAAGCGCAAGCAAGAAGATCCTTACACTGCAGCTTTCTCTCCAGCAAAGAGAATAGTGAGAAATCCAAATCTCCTGAGACTAGCAGTCAGGGACAGCAGTGCCTAGGATCTCACACTGCAGATATACTGTATAACTATGTGAAGTAGGGATGCGCTGATACCATACTCATACTCGTGAAAATGCTCCTGATACCCAAACCAATACTTTGAGGTGCGATTTGTGTCCTTACAAAAATGTATGGACACAAATTGCACTGCAAAGAATAGCATACTATTTGAACAGGAATGTGATTTCTGTGCTAATCACATGCGGTTTCCCCACTGTTTTTGTTTGAACCCAGGCTTGTCATAGCCTAAGTTCACACATGAGTGGTGCGGGAAACCTCCCTGCACTGATTCCATGCTGACCAGACAGTAGGAGAGAAGGATGTGTGGGGATGTATCAGGGGCGGACTGACCATTTGGAAACTCAGGCATTGCCTGAGGGCCTGGGGTCAGTAGGGGGCCCCATGAGATGCCCCTGGTACCTTTTTCATAGGCTTTTTTGAGTTTGGGCAAGGACACAGGGGCCCAATGATCCCCTATTGCCCGGGGGCCCCATGAGTTGTCAGTCCGCCCCTGGGATGAATATCTTGGTGTTGGCCATCAGACGGAGGATGGAGGCACATGCTCCGGATTCTCAGTTGTAGGAGAGGAGAGAAGGCCGAGGGGATTCTAAATCCTTGCAGCTTTCTCACCTTTCAGTGCAGGGATGACAGTACGGGCTAGACGGCTTCTGATTGGTCAGCATCATGACCAATCAAAAACTGTCTAGCATGTACTGTCATCACTACAAGGAGAGGAGAGAAAGCTGTGGGGATTTCAAGTTCCCGCGGCTTTTTCTCCTTTCAGTGCAGAGATGACAGTATGGGCTAGACGGCTTCTGATTGGTCAGCATCATGACCAATCAAAAACTATCTAGTCTGTACTGTCATCACTACAAGGAGAGGAGAGAAAGCTGTGGGGATTTCAAGTCTCCGCAGCTTTATCTTCTTTCAGTGCAGGGTTGACAGTATGGGCTAGACAGCTTCTGATTGGTCAGCATCATGACCAGTCAAAAACTGTCTAGCATGTACTGTCATCACTACAAGGAGAGGAGAGAAAGCCGTGGGGATTTCAAGTCCCTGTGGCTTTCTCTCCTTTCAGTACCTAGATGACAGTACGGCTAGATGGCTTCTGATTGTGACCAATCAAAAGCTGTCTAGCCCATACTGTCATCACTACAAGGAAAGGAAAGAAAGCCGTGGAGATTTCAAATCCTCATGGCCTTCTTTCCTCTCCTACAGCTGAGAATCCAGTGCATATGCTCCATCCTCCACCTGGTTGCCGACACCAAGATATACATCCCCACATGCCCCTCTCTTCTATTCTCCACTCAGCAGGGGGATCCTCGCAGGGAGTTTTCCCGTACCACTCACGTGTGAACTCCAGCTATGACCAGCCTGGGTTTACACAGAAACAGTGGGGAAATCGCATGTGATTTGGACAGGAATCGCATTCCTGTTCAAATAGCATGCTATACTTTGTGGTGCAATTTGCGTCCATGCATTTTGTATTGATGCAAATCACACGGCAAAATATAAGTACTCAGTATCAGGGAATATTTGACCGAATGTATCGATTAAAAAAAAGGGCATTGGTGCATCTCTAATGTGAGGCACATAACGGAAAGTGCACTGCTGTTCATAACAAAAAGATAGATTTCTCAGGTTATTGCTTAGGCACAGTTTAAAGTGGAACTCCACACTGCAAGGGTTAAACAAAAACAAAAAAGCTTTTACTTAACTGATCCTCCCACAAGCTCCCTCCGGCCTGGTAGACCAGTCCCTATGGCCTCTTCTCCCCTGCACTCCAGTGGTCAAATGCCCTCTGACATCACCCAGTACAATAGAGAGCCCATAGCTATGCATTGGATATAAGGACACAAGGGGACGGTTGACTGCTTGAGCAAAGGGGAGCACCAGGTGTCAGAGGAGTTACATATAGTTACATAGTTACTCTGGCTGAAAAAAAAGACAAAAGTCCATCCAGTTCAACCATTAAAAAAAAAAAAGTATAATCCTATACCCAGTGGTGTATTTTGGTTTTGTGCTGCCCTAGGCAAGACTAAAATCGGGCACCCTGCCCCCCACCCCCGCAGCTAAATTTGTCCCACCCTTTCACTTGCAAACTCCACCCCTTCCTCTTTAGGCCCCACCTCTCTTCCTATTAGAGCTCCGCCCACTGACAACGATGGGCCGCTATTCCTCCCACTGACACCAATGATGGGGTATGATTCCTAACACTGACACCAATGATGAGACACTTCCTCCCACTGACACTAATGATGGGGCACTATTCCTACCCCCCACTGACACCAATGATGAGACACTATTACTCCCACTGACACCAATGGTGGGACACTATTACTCCCACTGACACCAATGGTGGGACACTATTTCTCCCACTGACACCAATGGTGGGACAGTATTTCTCCCACTGACACCAATGATGGGACACTATTCCTCCCACTGACACCAATGATGGGACACTATTTCTCCCACTGACACCAAGGATGGGGCACTATTCCTCCCACTGATACCAATGATGGGACACTATTTCTCCCCACTGATACCAATGATGAGGCACTATTCCTCCCACTGACACCAATGATGGGACACTATTTCTCCCACTGACACCAAGGATGGGGCACTATTCCTCCCACTGATAATACCAATGATGGGACACTATTTCTCCCACTGATACCAATGATGGGGCACTATTCCTCCCACTGACACTAATGATGGGGCGCTATTCCTCCCACTGACACCAATGATGGTGCCCCATCATTAGTATCAGTGACACCAATGATGGGGCACTATTCCTCCCACTGACACCAATGACACTTAACTTGCTGACCCCTGCTCCAGCCTAGGTGCTGCTGCAGCCAGCATACCTGGTTGCAGCAGCACCACCAGCACGGCACACTTACCAGGCGGTCAGCTGTCCTGCTTCATTCACTCCGGGTGCTCCTTCACTCGATGTTAGCGGGGCCGCTCGGCTCCGCCTCCTCGCAGGTGATTGGCCGCCTGTGTGTCTTTCCTGAGCTACAGTTCTGGCACCCAATCACCGGTGAGGAGGCGGAGCCGAGCGGCAGCGCGAACATCGAGTGAGGGAACGGCCGGAGAGAATGAAGGACCAGCGCTTCCTGGACTGGATCGTCGTGGGACTGGACCGGAGCCAGGTAAGACACAGCAGCCCCCTGCCCGCCCCTTTACTTAGTGTCCCTTCCATTGGAAGGGGGGGGCGGCACTGCTCCGCCCCCCTAAAATGCCTTGTTGGCCTCACGGCAAATGCGCCCCTGCCTATACCTACAGTTGAGGGATCAGGTATGTAAAAGTACTTTTCCTGGTCCCCGAGACTGAAATGAGCATTTAAAGTGTTACTAAACATCGGACCCTGCATTTACTCTATTGGTCCCCCACAGTACACACAACATGCAAATGCAATTATTTTAGTAAATATAAACTGCTAAATACCTTTTTATCATCAGCATAGAGCAGTCTTGTGACTTCAGCAGAGCACTGGTTAAAACTTGTAGGAGTAGTTTTTCTTTCTGCTCTAGGAGGATGCAGAACCCCCGGCCTCTGTCTGGACAGTGCTGATTGGCCCTGTGCAGATCACATGCACTCTCCCCCCCAAAAAAGAAAACATCTCTAGCAATACCCACAAATCTAAGCATGTGCATGTGACTACGGATTCAGTCTGTATCAGGTGGTCATTTCAACAAGAGGAGGGGCCGAGAAGACAGGATCAAACAGCCTTTTTACACAATGCAGAGGATTAACTGCTTTGGTTCCACAGTGTGTATAACAAGCATGCTTTACTGCATCTACAGACTGATTTTACTGTTGTGAGTTTATTAGCACTTTAAAGTAGCTCTAAATTCTAATCATTTTTTACCTTTATGCATTCTTTGTATTAAAGTAAAAAAGACCCCACTACTTGTCTTACCCCCCCCCCCCCCCCCCGTCCCCAAACACTTACCTTGCTCAATTCACCTCCCCAACATCTCTGGTTCCAGAAATGCTCCTCGTATTTCCCCTTTCGCAGGAGAATCTGAGTGCAGCAGAGCAATAGGCTCCTGCTGTCATCAAACACCTGTCAGGAGGGAGACAGGGCCATGGCTTATGCGATGTATGTATCTATAGACGCACACAACAGGAATGTGCAAGCACAGGTGACCCCTTAGCACCTGGCTTACTAAAGGAGGCATCCACAGGAAGGAGGAGCGAACAGCACCAACAGGGAAAGCTAAAATATGTCATTGCAGGACTGCTAGAATATGTCATTGCACAGAGCAGATACATATAACATCATTTTATTCAAACAAAAAAAAAAGACCTTCATTATCACTTTAAACCTCACAGTGTGGGGGAAGCCCCAATGCTGAGTTGATTTTTACTTTCCCCGAAAATAGGCTTTATCGTGTCTAGATAGATTCCCTATAACATAGGAGATCTTCACTTTTTGAGTTCAGGTTCACTTCAACAGACTAAAACCAGTGTGTTGATCTTTTGTAAAGACTGCGATATAACAAAAACAAAATAAATTCAATTTGCACATATTACTGTCTCTGCGCTATAAATTCTTTACGAGTCGGAAGCTTCTCATTTCCTAGTGAATGTACAGATGCTTATCTCTTATATAACTTTTTATTGACTTTTTTTCTTCCTTTCATTATACTCAAATAACATAATAACTTGCAGACAGCATTATTTATGAGCTGGTGCTGTAAATTTAGTTTATTTGATATTTTTAGGACATTAGCACACAGGGAATACAGAGGAGACGACTTGTGATAGGGTAGCACCCCTCAAGTTTAGCTAGGGGGAGAGCTAGATAGTTTTTTTTTTGGCAGAGACTTGTTAGGAGCTCGGGTGTTAGTCAGCCAAGTTATTTAAGGTCAGGGCTGAGGGTTCTGCAGGTAAGTTCCCTGATACCTCCCCTGCTCTAGAAGCTGGAGACGTTTCTAGAGGTCTGTGGGTGGGGGTGAGGAGGAGCTAGCTTGCATACTTAAGGGGCCTTGGTCAATCCCCATGCAGGAGGCTTGGCATGGGGCCAGGAAAGCCTTTAAAATATGATTGAGCCCAAACATGCAGGGGAGTTGTGTGTCGGGTGGAAGATGGAGTGAAGGCTGGACTGTGGAGCCTGGGAGGGGGTCCAGGAGAGCGTCCTAGAGAGGGTCCTAGCTACAGGCAGGAGCTAAAAGGAGGATCTCTCTGCCTCATTGTCCCCAGAGAGAGGACAGCCTGTGTAGCAGAGAAGGAGCCAGCCCAGTGTAAGGCCTGAAGGCAGCCACCAATCTACCAAGTTCACAGAAGAGACAAAGTTAGTAACCCTATACCCCTGGACCGGATAAGGGGAGAGGGCAGTCAGGTAAAAAATCCCAACTAGCTTCATCTGGGGCTGTTTTGCTAAGCGGTAGCTTCTGGGTCCCTTTGGCCAGGGATACCCCCAGGCAGCTGGGTGAAGAGGAAGATAAATCTGCGGTCTGAGGAGGTACACCAGAGAGCTGGAATGCTCTCACAGAAGAGACTATTTTGTCCATATCTGTACATAGTTGCTAAAGAATTTGTCCTCAAGTTTGCTGTTCCCTTGGACATTCAATGCATCTTTCAACCCCATCCAAGTTCAAAACCCCTTATTAAAACATCAAAACCAAGCTCAAGGACTGCTTACCGATTTCACCGTACAGGTGTGGAATGAAATGCATGTTGCCTGGCTGTGGAGAGCTGTAGGGGGACCCAAAACTCAACGAATCCTAAGGGACTGGTGCTACATCATTTTTTATTTACTGTACAGTTATAAATGCAGCCCACCCCAAAAAGTGTTTTCCTATTTAGGGTGGAATGGGTAGAGGCAGAGTCTTTATCATTGCTAAGCAGAAAAATTGCACCTACCGCTAGGAAAGGAAATGAGAGGCAGAGCTAGGGACTTCTGCCATGTCACCTTGGTGAATCCTCCACATATCCCTGGGAAGCCTTAGAGCATCCTTTCTCAAGCTTTTTTATACTAAGGAGGAACCCCCTGAAATGATTCTTAGGTCTCAGCTTACTGTACATTAGTGCAGGGGTGGTTGGGAAGCATGTTTCTTACTTTGGTGGTCATGGGAAGAATGTCCCCTTTTAGATAGTTAATAGGAGAATTGGTGTTAACAATTACAAGACTTATTACTAATAAGACATTGCTCATTGCTCATGGGAACCCTATGAATCACTGGATGACCCCTGGTTGAGAAAAGCTGTTCTAAAGGGTACATGATACAATTACACTGGACCCTTTGGGGTTTATTTACTAAAGCTGGAGAGTCCAAAATCAGACTCCCTTCTGCCTAGAAACCAATCAGCTTCTAACCTCAGCTTGTTCAATGAAGCTTTGGCAATGAAACCTGGAAGCTGATTGGTTTCTATGCAGAAGGGAGTCTGATTTTGGACTCTCCAGCTTTAGTAAATAAACCCCTTTGTGTCACCAGTGGTATGGATGGGCTTCTTTGGAGTCCCACAAGAAGGTAAGAGTCTTATGACAGTTAAAAAAAACACATAGCCTCCTATAGTGCAGTCTAGTATTAGTTTGTACTTAAATAACCACATGATGCAATTGGTAGAACCTGTATAAAAGTGGTGCCCTTGTTCAGATGTTCCTAGGGGAGACAGATGTCTAAATAAAACTCAAAACTATAGAAAACAAATGTCAAAATTGTATTATATGTATTTACAGATGAGCCGGCTGTCTTGGAAACAGAAGACCTGGATAGGAAGGCAATGCGACTAGGTGGTGGACTGGACCCGGACACCATATCTCTTGCCTCTGTCACGGCTGTCACAACTAATGTTTCCAATAAAAGGTAAACTGATGACTACTTCATAGGTGCTAAAGGATACGCCAGCCTTTTAGAAACTTTATAGCTATTACTCCGCTCACTATGCCAACATCTGCGGTATAACTATTGCCAGTGCAATGACGTCATCATGCTTTGTCAAGCATCCCAGCATGTGCAATGAAACCAACTGAGGGTGCTGGTATCACACATGTCTGGTAGTCTTTTAAATGTGTTCATTCTGTTATTAAATTGCTCCTCTACAGATTATGAATAATTTTGGTGGTTGGTGACAATAAAGCCTTTTTCCGGATGGTATTAGCAGTTACATTTTACTTCTTAGAAAATGCAGAAAACCTTATAGCCCCTGGGATTTTTTAGGAAGTCGGTATACAAAGTTACCACAAATATTTAAAAGATACTTCTGGGACCCACAGTGAAGAAGTCCATCCCAGGGGTCTGTGGATGTTGGAGAGCCAGCCAGAATATAGCCCCCAGGAATCAAGCAAGGAGCAGCAGAGCAGAGAGAAAAAGAACTAGGGAACCAGATCCATGGATACAAGTTACTCAGTAGAACAGAGTAGTGCCAGGACAGGCACTACCAAGAGTAGATGGTGCAAATGCCCCCGGGATAGACTTCTCTACTGTGGGTTCCTGAACATGTATGGACAGCTATGGCCCCCATTTTTCTTTTTGGTAATAGTAGGATATTCTAGTGACTGATTTTCAGACACCCAGCTGGTAATATCAAAATCCTGATGAAGTGCACTGTGTTTCACGAAACGTGTAGAGATTACGATAGTCCTCAGTTTATGGATGTGAACCTCTTAAGCATTATTGCATGTTTGTATGGAGCAATTTGTACTTATGTATGAACTAATGATATCTCTAATGTATATGTTTTAAACTGGTGCATCTTTTGGCTTTTAGATTGGTTTTAACCATTGTCCACAATAAAGTATCTATTTTATATATTTGTGGTAACTTTGTATATTAACCTCCTAAAAATTCCCAGGGGCTATAAGGCTTTCTGCATTTTCTTGCAAGTGTATTTTGAGATAGAGGCATTGAACCTCTGTAATTGGTGCCTTTTCTGCATTTGTACTTCTGACATTTTACTTGCTAACTGCTGTTTCTGTTTGGGATAAACTTCAGAATACGGATGAGTGGATCTCCCTGGGTTTGGTTTATTAAGATTTTTAGAAATCCTTCTTGGCTTTTGAAGTTTGCAACCTTTGCGGTAAATCCCATTGATGTCTATAAGGGGCGAATCTTGTTATTCAGTTCTGGCCATCTGTAGGGCAAATAAGCAAGCTATTGTCAAGCAAAAGATATGGGAAGCCTGACACTGTCAAGGGGGACATACCAATACAAAAAAAACAAAATAAAAAAATAAAACAAAGCAATGCCTCTTTCTACACAGAATTGTCATCTCTGTCTAACAGCCCCATGAAACACTGACAACATGGATGTAGGGAGTACCCTCTTTTATAGTGAAGGGAAAGGATTATCCATTCCTTCAAATTATTGGCTCTAGTGACTCAGAAGACCGGGGGCAAAGACTATGTACTGCATTATAGGTCATTCCTTATGTCTAGTGGCAAACATGCAAAGTGAAAAATCCCTTGTATTCACCATAGACCCATGGTGGCAGAAAACCCCTCTATGTTTATGTACAAAATGTTTTATATCACAGTGCAGGAAATCTGTGTCTATATTTGTTTTGTGAGCCGGAGACATAACGAGCCTCCTGAGATTTCCTATACTGTGTATATTAAATCCCTGCATTTATTTGTTGGTAGGCTTACTTTAATGTGATATTATGCAACTTATTTCTTTTCTCTGTAGATCTAAGCCGGACATTAAAATGGAGCCCAGTGCTGGGAGACCAATGGATTACCAAGTAAGACTTGGGGTTCTCAGGAAAATTTCTGTTTTCATTTTTGCAAACATGTTGCAGTTTAAAGTGACCCTACCGCCATACTATGGACATCAGGAAAAGAGCAAGCATTAAAATAACTCTCAAACTAGCTGATTCCAAAATATGTATGCATTGAACAGCAATTCATTTTGGAATTCACATTCAGAGTAATCTGTGTTGCATGTAAGTTATTCTTAGGAGGAACCAGGAGCAGAATAAAAGGACAGGCACTGAATCTAGGATGAAAGGGTAGTGATTGGTATCTATAATCCTAGGCATTCCTTGAGGAATCCAAGATGGTGACATCTACACCATTGTAAAAGTCTTGTGCAGAGTCTCAAGAATAAGAAAGATGTTGCGCAATATACAGTAGTAATATTTTTTAGAGTACTTCTATTCAGTCATTACCTTTGGTGAAAAGATTTGTATTTCCATGGTTGGAGAACAGGTTTGCTTTATTTACGAATGGGTTAGTTCAAGAGTGTACAACAATTCTGGGGCCCATAGATCAAAGGTTCTTCCTCTCATATCCCAACTGTAGGATTGCATTACATTCCGTACAAAATACATATCTAATTTATTTATATTTTCTGGTGCTTGAATCTTTAGAAGGCTTTTATGTCCTAGACCAGTGGTCTCCAAACTATTGACCTTTATTTGCCTTTATCCAGCCCTTAAGGCACCATTCCATCCATTACACCAACGATGGGGAGTCATTCTTCATACAGACACCAATAATAGGGCCCTATTCCTCCCCCAAATACCAACAATGGACCAACCATTGATACCAACAGTGGAGCACCACTCCTCCCACTGAATCCAACAATGGAGCCCTATTCCTCCCACTAAAGCCAAGGAGGCATATTTTACGCCCAATGACGCTAGGGCATTTTCTAATCCCAGTGACCACAGACTGGCCCCCCAAAAGACTGAAGGACAGTTAATTGACCCTTTGTTTAGAAAGTTTGGAGAACCTAGTCTAGACATAAAACATATTTATCTGACATTTCTCTCAAATGAAGTAATTTGTTCATGCTAGGCCATACACTGTAGATCAGAACTAATATCTTTAATGTGGATTCACGTCACTGACCCTTTCTGGGAAATCTGAGTTTTCAGTAAGTGGAACATCTTACAATGCAATGGAGACATCACAGTGCCTTTTTGAAAGATACCTACTTTGTATTGAGGGCTGGTAAGGGTGTACTTATGCTCAACTTACTGAAAACTCAATATCTACTTGGGCTTTTTAAAGCTACTGGGGCAAAGAAGTTATTTTGTTGTCAAAAAGGTGACTTTTAAATGAATTCTCTTAAAGAAGAAGTAGAGCCTCATGAGCTATATATATGTACTGCAGTCATGGAGACCTAGTTTACATTTTGCACCACGAGAGATAAATTGTCATATTTAGTATGCTGTTGGTTTTGGCTAAGAACCCAATCCCATGTAATTCTTGGCAAAACAGATGAAAAAATAGAGTAAGCACCCCCAACTCCAGCCAAAAGATATTTTTTTTTGTTTTGCTTAGAGTGATGAAAGGTGAAAGCCACCACCGGGTTTTTCTTTTTACCTGATTTTATGTTGAGGCATTTTTACCTCACTCTTTATACAGATGGCCATACCCTTCCCTAATCTATTTCAAAATTAATAAATTCAGGAAAAAAGATAATCAGACGAGGTGGAGATCACGACATCACTGCCTCGCCTCTCCAGTTTGCCTACTCTCCTATTCACAATGCAGCAGGGCAGCCGCTCAACACAGGACCTGGAAGCTGGTGGAGATCACTGTAGCAGAGGTGTCTACTACAATCATTTCCAGCTTCCTAAGGTATCCCACAGGTATTGCACATACAGTACATAATTACATTGGTCCAAGCGGCACCAATGTAACTAAATACAAATTTCCATACATACCCTTCAGTTATTATGTGTCTTTGTCATTTGATGATTATCTGACCTTCCTCTCCTGCAGGTTAGTATTACAGTGATCGAGGCTCGGCAACTGGTGGGATTAAACATGGATCCGGTGGTTTGTGTTGAGGTTGGAGATGAGAAGAAATACACCTCCATGAAAGAGTCCACCAACTGTCCGTACTATAATGAGGTTAGTACTTTGAACTGCAGACCATTATCAGCTTTCACAGAATGTGAGAAAGAAAGATTTTTCCAGGGAAAAAAAAATCTTCAAAATAACTAGACTTTTCTTCTTGATCACAGCCAGGCTGACAGTGTAGAGCTCCTTGTGAACAGACACTGGAGGAATGTTTTTCAAGTTAGCTTTTACTTAGTACATTCTCTGCATTGATGTGTTGCAAATACAAAGTGACTAAAAAAGCAACTTGAAAGAAAGAAGATGCTAATGTATCAAACATTACATCCGGATAGAATGTTCCTATTTACAATATTTTCTAACTAGGTATAGATTAGGTTTTAAAATGAGAGCATACAACAGATAACATGGATTATGTAACTCCTATTAGAAAAAGAAAAAAAAAAATGTTTTTACAGTAGTAATAACTGTCAGCGGTTTTTAGTTTAACACATTGACCACTATATACTAAACATACCACAGTAAACGATTTGTTACATTTTTTACCCCAACACTTGCAGTTTACACTTTTCAATGCTACTGGTTTATCAGTCATTTCCATTGAGTGGTTTAGTTCTTTTTTATCTTACTGCTAAAGGTGGCCATAAATCAGTCGAATTTTGCTTGAAAATGTTGGTTTTCAAGACCCTTGCTTGATTTTCATAGTTCGGTCAAATCAAAGTTAGTTTTTGAGTGTAGTAATGAGAAAATCTGAAGGAGCAGGATGACAAATTTTTCTCAAAGGAAGAAATTTTAACTGTGAATGTGGGGAAAAAAATCAAATATTTATTGTAATGTAATTCCATTCAAATAGATGGGATTCCATTCATTTAGCAGGTTTGGACAAAATGTTAAGGGCCTTTGAACAAAAGTAGTTGACTCAATGATGGCAAAAAAAAGTTACTAGCGAATATTTGAACAAAAATCATCTGTATGGCCATCTGAATAGACTTTTAGGCAAAAAGGAAGAGCTGGAAGAAGAATTTACAAGCACCATCTTTTTCCAAATCATTTATTATACCTAATAACCATGGAGTGGGGTTGCAGATATAAAGTAAAGAGAAAGTAGAGAAGCTTGAAATGTCAGGTCAGAATGGTCGTACTTTGGAACTGTTCCAGAATACATGAATAAAGCTCCCTCTGCAGCTTGACGTTAATGGAAGTTTGGGTATTATCTCTACTTCCCATGGTAATAAAGTCTATAATATGTTTAATAAAAGTAGCATAGCTCCATACGTTTGTCCAAGAGATGCCATTCTCCAACAGGGGTCTATAAAACCCAGGGGTTCCTCTAGAGCAGTGGTCTCCAAAACTACAGCCCAGGAGTCAGAAGTGGCCCTTTGCTTGCCTTTATCCGGCCCTTGGGGCACTATTCCTCCCACTGACATTAACAATGGGATATAATTCCTCCCACTGACATTAACAATGGGATATAATTTCTCCCACCGACGTTAATAATGAGATATAATTCCTTTCACTGACATTAACAATGGGATATAATTTCCCCCACTGACATTAATAATGGGATATAATTCCTCCCACTGACACCAATGATTGGGCACTATTCCTCCCACTGACACAGATGATGGGGCCCTATTCCTCCAACTGACATGAATGATTGGGCACTATTTCTTCCATTGGCAGGAATTCTCCCCACTGACACCAATGATGGAACACTATTTCTCTAATATCAAAAATAGGGCATTGTTTACTCCCACTGACACCAGTACATTTTCTATTCCCACTGGCCACAGTTTGGTTCCTCTAAAGTCTGAAGGACAGTAAACTGACCCTTTGTTTAGAAAGTTTGGAGACCCCTGCTCTAGAGGTTGCTAGGGGATCCTTGAGTTGTAGCCAATTGATCTTCCATATGATGGTGCTTGCACAGTTCAAGGCTAACGTGAATAGGCAGAGCCAGAAGCATGACACCAATGATCTTTTTAGTTCTCTTTAATGGTGGCATTCTTAACACGACTGTGAGGGATGCATTCACCCCAGCCACCAATGTGAGAGGCATGTCTTTCCTTTAGTTTTACTTGTCTTAGGCAACAATGCTCATGTAGAACTACCCTCACAGGAGCTGATGAATTTTTGGGTCTCTCTTATGCTCTGCATTACCAGGCACCACACATTTCCCACATCTTCACATACAGAGTCAGTAAACAGTCCTTGAGCTCTTTTTTTGTTGTTTTTATTTTGAGGTTAACAACTTGGATGGGCTCTAAGGGTACATGGGATGCCCTTGGAACTGCACACTTGAGGACAAACGTCTTAGCAAATTGTACACTGTAAAAAAATGTGGATCAGAAACAATAGCACTGTCTCTTTAGGGAGCACTGAACTCCCTTTGGTGTACTTCCTTAGACCCCAGATGAATCCTTCCTCTTTACCCGGCTGCACTGAGGGTATCCTTGGGCAAGGGATTCCAAGATCTGCCACTTAAGTAGTCCTGGATGAGAACTAGTCGGGTCTTGCACCTGACCTCCCTCTCCCTTTATCTGGCCCGGGGGGTGTAGGAGTACTCACACTGTACTGTTTTTTTTAGCTTGGTGGGTTTCAGTTGCTTTCAGGCCTTACGCTGGGCTGGCTCCTTCCCTGCTGACAGAATGTCCTCCCTAGGAGACTTGGCACAGTGGAGATCCTTCTGTCCAACAAACAGCCTGTAGGCTGGACTGGGCCCAATCTCAGGCTCCACTCTCCAGCACCTTCCTTCAATCCTTCTTCCACCCGACTTCCCCGCTGCACAGGCTCTATCATATTTAAGGTGTCCCTTTGGCCATCATGATCAGCCTCCTTCCTGGGAATTGGCAAAGTTCCCCTAAACATGCAAATCTAAGCCTCCTCCCCCACCCCTCTTCCAGAAAGTGCCATAAGTTTCTGGAAAGGTGGGAGGGCTCCAGAAGCCCTGACCTGTAGAGCCTCCCAGCCTGTGCTGAGGTGAACTCACTACCTTACTCCCAGGCTTACTCATCCCTGGCTTCTAACAAGCCTCTAACTAAAAAAAAAAACAACACATACCATTTACCTAGAGGGCAAAACATTCACACTACTGCATCTATGGAAGAGCAGCATTGTCACCCTAGGACAGGACTAAAACACCTCCCAAAAAAGAAAGCAGTTGACTAGAACAAACGGCAAAAAGATTGGTGTATAAATCCAAAGCAGAGTACAAAGTACATCAAATGGATGCAAAAAAGTATCTTTATTACGATCACAATGATCCTATGAAGGATAGGCTTTGAACATGGTGAACACAGAATCAAAAAAATAAAAACAGTGTATTAAAAACAAAAACAAAAGTCCACGGCATTCACTTAGCTGAAAAAATATAGAGCAGTAGAGGGCTTGAAAACCGATAAATATGAACCTTCTGGGAGAAGGAGGTCATCTTTAGTGATGGATGATAACGGCAAAACTGCAATAGTACATCTACAGTTCACCCTGAGTATGATCAAGATTATGCATCTTCATGTCTTGGATGTCTTACTGATTTCCAGTGATGACATAACTGAAGGAGGATAGATAGTTTCACCTCTCGAAAATATTCGTCAATTCCGGGTATTAAAATGGCATGTGGAGTGAATCGTGGAAAATCAACATATTCAATAAATGATAAGTAGGGGAGCAATCAATGCTTAGATAATAATCAATAATAAAAGGTAATTCATGGAAAATTCAAATGCCAGGTAGAATCTAATGGCTATATTATGTGTATGAAGCTCCTTGGTGATAAATTACTCATATTACCTTCACAATGTCTCATCATCATTGATGTAGCTTGAAGATAGAGGATATATCAAGACTAAGCCAATCAATGTCGGCCGATTTCCCTTGAGTATGGTAGTAGCTATAAATAGCAATATTGAGTTTAGATCTAGGATGAATGAACATACATAAGTCAATCAAGTTAAATGAGACAATAATATAGTGTATATCCAACGTGTAAAATAAAGTAGCCAATACCCAGATTGGATCTGTAATAGATGAACAGACATACAGTAAGTCAATCAGTGGGATGCAACAATCAGGCAGTCGATCTCCAGCAAAAGGGGTAATCAACCTATAAGTGCACTAATTAAATATGAAATTCCCGAGGTATGAGTATATATATAGATGATTTATAATCCTGATCAAATTACAGAGCAGGCTTGGCACAATGAGTGTGCCTACATTAAAGTGGAGTTCCACTCACGCTGTCAAAAAATAAAAGTCAGCAGCTACAAAAACTGTAGCTGCTGACTTTTAAAAAAACAGCCACTTACCTGTCCCTCGGTCCCGCGGTATGTCCCCTGCAGCCCATTTCACCGGCCGTCCTGTATTCCAGAGGCCTGCATCTTCAGTGTGGGCACCCGTCTATGATAGCTTGTGGCTTCACAGCTGGGTACCCACTGCGCATGTGCAAGTAGCGATGCGCTTCGTGAATGGCCCTGTAGTCTTCTGGGACCTGTCACGAGAGAACATGTTCCGCTTCCCATTGCCTAGGCAATCGGACCGAAAGTGGTTGTGGGTACCTGTCAAATTCGGGTACACGTTCCCCCCCCTGCCCCCAAAAGGTGCCAATCCTTAATGGGGAGCTGGGGAGCAGTCCTTAAAGCGGAACCTCCCCTTTTGGGTGGACCTCCGCTTTAAGGCCAAGTAATGAATGAAATCCAGTGGCGTCATATATGAGGCACAATGTTTTGTATTTTGAAAGTTACTTTCCACTGGAGAGATACTTAGCAATAAGGTCGCCGTAGGAAAATACAGGTACTCCCAGGAGTATATGTTTCAATGATCGGTTTCCATCTTGCCGAATATGAATCAAAGATGGAGGCGTGTGGGGCACATCTTCCTCCTCATGGAGACTTCAGCGCAGGTGATGCTCTTGGACGTGATGATGTCACTACGTTGACGCGTTTTTTCTGCCAATCATCGCGGACTTCGTCAGAATCATTTGATTTCTGGCAGGATCAAATTTTTTTTTAAATTAGTGAACAGATATGAAAAACATTAAATGACATATTTAACAGGTCAAAATGAAGCCTATAAGATCCATTCATTGTTAGGGTTTAAATACATGTCCCTCTGAGTTCCGTTATCTGAATTCCGTCTCTTATAATCAATGTCTCTCCTTCTTCCCACAGTACTTCGTCTTTGATTTCCACGTGCCTCCAGACGTGATGTTTGACAAAATAATCAAACTGTCAGTAAGTAACAATGTTTGCCATTCCCTATTGACATAAAACACTCGGCAGTGTGATCACTTCTGCCATCAGCACAAACACGTTTTTACAACCTCAGTTTGCTTCCTCTGGGGCTCCAGGGAATATTGATTTTATTTCCCAGCGTTCACCAAGAATGCAGAGCGATATTTATGCTTTCAATAATGAACATGGTGAGTGGTTAGAAAAACGAGGCTTATTTTCAGAAGAAAAACATGAAAAAAAAAAAAAAAGTTTTATATCTCTTATGTTTCATATCAATTCGCAGCTTAAATTTATCTTAGATTAGAGAAAGATCGAGGGCAGAGTTACTAGGTGGAATGACATCGGCAGCAGCCCAATTTACCCATGCGTTATGTCGATTTTTTCCTATCTAGTAGCAAACATTTTCAGATTCGATGCAGTGCAAGTCGTGAGTATGTAATATTTCCCTTTGTACTAGAAGTTTTCACTGGCAGTAAGCACTTGCTGAGATTGTGATCCCAGAGGATATTTTAAAGCCTTCCTTTCAGTCTTGTCCAGTTGTACCGCTTCCTCTCCTCTACTGAAATTGCTTCCTCTGATTTCACTCCACACTGTGAGCTTCTCACAATGTGCATTAGAAGCTGCAGCAAGTCAGAAACAGCGTGCTTCATCTCTTGGCTGAAGCCTAGCATCATCTAAGCAGGGAAAGCAAAATAAACTTCACTTTTAAAATAGTTGTAAGGACTACAGTAACTTTGACTATTGTTAAAAATGTTCCCTCCTCCTTCCTCCTACCTATCCTGCATACCCTGTATAAAAAATATCTGGATACTCACCCTTTCACTGGCAGTAAGCACTTGCTGAGATTGTGATCCCAGAGGATGTTTTAAAGCCTTCCTTTCAGTTTTACCCAGTTGTACCACCTCCTCTCCTCTGCTGAAATTGCTTCCTATGATTTCACTCTACACTGTGAGCTTCTCACAATGTGCATTAGAAGCTGCAGCAAGTCAAGCCCACTTCATCTCTTGGCCGAAGGATGCCCAGTATCACCTAGCCCCTCCCCAGCCTGACTGTTCCTGGCCCTTCACTGGAATTCATTAGATAACAGTTCTTTTATTCATGGGACTTCAGCATCCTACAGTGGTTTGCAAAATAAACTTCAGTTTTAAAATGGTTGTAAGGCCTAGAGTAACTTTAACTATTCTTAAAAATGTTCCCTACCTATCCTGCATACCCTGTATAAAAAAATATCTGTAACTTCGGGCTCCACTGTGTAAGGGAGTGCTGGACAATGGCTGAGACTGAGCTTTGACATCACCCATAGGCTTCAATAGTCCAGTCATTGTTAAGGTGGTGTTTCCTCCTCTTCCTGCAGCAGCTGCTCACTGACACAGGAAAGCTGGAGCTGCAGGATTTTGTGACTGGACCAGAGAGAATGAAATTTTTTATGTAATATAATTTTATATAGGGTATGCAGGATAGTTACATAATTAGTCTGGCTGAAAAAAAGACAAAAGTCCATCCAGTTCAACCATAAAAAAAAAGTTATAATCCTATACCCACAGTTGATCCAGAGGAAGCAAAACAACCCAGCAAAGCATGATCCAATTTGCTCCTGCTGGGAAAAAAAATCCTTCCTGATACCCCAAGAGGCAATCGGATATTCCCTGGATCAACTTTACCTATAAATGTTAGTATCCAGTTATATTCTGTGTATCTAAGAAAGAATCCAGGCCTTTTTTGAAGCAATCCACTGAGCTGGCCAGAACCAACTCCTGAGGGAGTCTATTCCATATTTTCACAGCTCTCACTGTGAAGAAACCCTTCCATGTTTGAAGATTAAATTTCTTTTCCTCCAGACGTAATGAGTGTCCCCTTGTCCTCTGTGATGACCTCAGGGTGAATAGCTCTACACCGAGTTCACTATATGAACCACTGATGTATTATACATAGAGATGATCATATCCCCCCTTAATCTCCTCTTCTCAAGAGGAAATAAATTTAGTTCCTCTAATCTTTCCTCATAGCTGAGCTCCTCCATGCCTCTTATCAGTTTAGTTGCCCTTCTCTGTACTTTCCCAAGTTTTTTGTAAATTGGTGCCCATAGGTAGGTAGGAAAAAAAAGGGAGAGGGAATATTTTTAGGAATTTACAGAATTAGCCTTTTCTTCCACTTTTAGGCCCCTTTCACACTGGCGGACTTATCGGATCCACCTGTCCATTTTTACAGGTGGACCTAATTGGACCATCCATTGCCCTCTGATGGGGCAGTTGATGTAAATGGATATGTGCCCATTTTCACCCACCTGCATCTGATCCGATCTGCTAAAAAAAGATGGATAGGGATCCATTACCCATCCCTCTAGCGTTTCCGATGACAGTTGGATGTAAACGGACAGGCAGTCCAGTTCCATCTCACTGCCCCATAGAGGAAAGTGGGTTGTGTCTGTGTCTGCTCTGCATAAGCCCCCTGATCCCCGCTGAGCAGGAGGACCCACTGGCAGAGCCCGTCATATGAAAGGGACCTAAGGCCCAACACTAGCCAAAACTTTTTTATTTAGTTTTGGATAGAGCAGGAAAGGGTTGCACTCTCAGGATTTTCTGCAGCCTCTGCTTCTATTGGGGAGTTCCCATCACTTCTTGTAAGGCATAATGGACTGTCCCTTTAAGCCCCCTTCACACCTGTCTGGTGTGTTTCGGTATGTTATTGCACAAACGTTAATGTGCGTTATTTTGCATACAAGTAACCTATTCATTTTGAACACACAACAACGCACAGAAAAACAGACAGGAACCTTTTTTTAATGCAGTGTACAGTACACTAAAGTGCACGTTTGTTGTGGTGTTTTTGCAAGGTCTGTTGAAGTTGCGTTTTTCACAACATATAAGTATGGAGCCAACCTTAAAGCTGCATCTCCCCTGTGTTTAATGGTGATAAAATAAAGTAAAAACTTGCTCTGTGAACAATATTTGTTATATGTGGCTTTGCCCTGTCCCATAGGTCATCCACTCCAAGAATCTCCTGCGCAGTGGCACATTGGTTGGCTCCTTCAAGCTGGATGTGGGGACAGTCTATACACAACCTGGTAGGTCCTTGTAGGCTGGCGCTTAGGATGTTTAAATGTAAATGTACTTTGTAAATCCATGTCTAACTTCCATCTCTTGCATCCTCCTTCTAGAACACCAGTTCTACCACAAATGGGCCATTCTTTCCGACCCTGATGACATCACAGCGGGGGTTAAAGGTTACCTAAAATGTGACATTGCTGTCGTTGGTAAAGGGGACAACATAAAGACGCCTCACAAAGCTAACGAGACTGATGATGATGACATTGAAGGGTGGGTGTCTCAGCCCTTGTACCTGTCTGCTTCTCTCTATGTGGGCAATTTCGGTGGCTTCATTTTTCAGTTGACGTTTATGTGTGGCACTTTGGGACTTCTGCAACACATTTCATGGCGTCAAATGTTTTATGCTAAAGGAGGCATGAAAGAAACCTGTCATCCTTTTAAAAATGGCCTGCTAAAGCACTGTCATTGGATAGTGGGATGGTGGCTGGGCAAGAGATAGCTTTGGAGTTGGGACTTATCTATGAGGTAGGAAAAGGCGAGCCTCTACTAACAGAGTTGACGATTGACCCTCTACAACTCAAAAGTAGGAAGAGGAATTCAAGGTATGGATATTTTTACATACAGTAGTTATGTTGATCCAGCTTGGAACAATGTAATCATGCATATACCCTATATATATATCCTAGATTGTAAGCTCGAAAGAGCAGGGCCCTCGATCCCCTCATGTTTTGCATTGTATTGGTATTGTTCTGTCACATGTTCTGTCCCCCTTTGTAATGTACAGCACTGAGCGAATTATTGGCACTTTATAAATACTGTATAATAATAATAATAATAATATACCACACCTGTAGGATCCCTCTAGAAGTTGGAAATCACTGAAGCAGGCACCGCTACTCCAGTGATCTGCACTACCTTCTAGGTTCTGTGCCAGGCTGGTGACCTTCTGAGTTCACAATGCAACAGGGCAGCTGCAGATGGGACCTGGAAGGTATTGGAGATCACTATGACCGGGTACCAGCTCGCCCGGAGCAGCCACGTGCTCGTCAGCTCCGGCGCCCCCGCGCCCGATCCGCTGCCATCCGGGCCCCTGAGCCTGCTGCCGATGTCCCCACCAACACCCTGAAGGGGACACAGAACACCGTCCCTCCAGCGGAGCTCCGGCGGTCCGAAGCGGCTTGAGGCCTACCACGGCACCCGAAGCCGCGGTGTTTCCTGCCGGCCGTGGCTGGAATCGCAGCGGGACGCCTCCGCTCCTCCGGGGAAGCTACCACCACCACCAACGGTCCTCCTAACATAGGAGGGATCCACCTCCACCCCGACGCTCCAGGACATCAGGTACTCCACCAGGGGCACCCACTACCCATCAGGGAGCCCAACCACCATCCCACCGCCAGCCACCAGGGATCCCACCACCCACCGGAAACCCTAACCACCAGGGACCCTTAACCACTATCCCTCCAGGGATCGCTACTAACCCACCAGGGATAGCACGGCCACCATCCCACCAGGGATCCCCTGCCCTCCACCCCACCTGGGACTACCAGCCACCTCCCACTGCGTTTCGGACACTGCTTCGCCATCCCTGACCAGCACCCTCCCTCTCACCCACCCCGACCCTTCCTGCACCCCGCTCACCCCAACATGCCGCCCGCGCTCCTCCTCCTTGTCCTCCTCTCCTCCATCCCTAAAACCGCCTTCCTCTACCCACCCACCCCCCGCTAAGCAGCTCTATATCGCCCCCTCACTTCTCCCTCTCCCCACTATGGCACCCACCACCTCCTCCTGCTACTCCACTTCCCCGCTGACCCACTTGCCACCACTTTCAGACCCAAGCGCTCCTACACCTCCCGTTCCCACGCCACCTTCCTCACCCTCCTCCTTCTCATATCAGCTGGGGACATCTCCCCAAACCCTGGCCCCTCACCACCTCACACCCCCCCTAGAGCCCCCCCCCTGCTCACGCCAGCCGACGCGACCCCCTCAACCTCATACATGTACCCCTCCTCCCCATATCTATCCCCCCTCTCTCTCGGTTGCACTCCTGAATGCCCGTTCGGTTTGCAATAAGCTTACCGCCATCCATGACCTCTCTCATCTCCCCTCCCTCAAGCTCCTAGCAGTCACCGAAACCTGGGTACACACAGGCCACTGACTCCACTTCCCCTGCGGCACTCACCCATGGAGGTCCTCATCTGGACCCATTCACCAAGACTGAGCGATCGCAGAGGTGGTGGTGTCGGCTTGCTCCTATCACCGCTTAGCAACCTTCCAGGTCCTCCCTAACCCACCCTCTCTTTCCTTCCCCTCCTTTGAGGCGCACTGCATCCGACTCTTCTCACCCACCCCCCCTAAGGATCGCAGTGATCTACAGGCCTCCCGGATCCATAGCCCGCTTCCTGGATGACTTCGCCGCCTGGCTCCCCTTCTTCCTCTCCTCTGAGCTACCGACCATCATCCTCGGGGACTTCAACATCCCCATCAACGACAACACCCCGGCTACTTCCCAATTCCTCCACCTAACCTCCTCCTTCGCGCTCACACACAGCACACTCAATCCTCCACCCACTTCGGAGGGAACACCCTGGACCTTGTCTTCTCCCACCTCTGTACCCTCAACCAGTTCTCGAACACCCCCTTCCCTCTCTCCGACCACCACCTCCTCACCTTCTCCAGCACCCCCCCCCCCCCCCGCATTCATCATCCCCCCAGACCCCCAACCCCCCCAGACCCACAACAAGATTGACGCTATCCGTAAGGACATCGTCAACTTGCAATCTACCTCCCCACCTAGCCTCCTCGCCCCCGTCACCCCTTCATCTCCCACCTCCTCTGCCCTCACAACCGCCACTGCCCCCCCTCCTCCACATCACAATGCCCCGCCCACCATAACCCCCCCCCCCCAGCACTGCACTCCCTCAGCTCTGTCACACTGAGGAAGTCGCCAAATCCTCTCAAAAGCCCGCCTCACAAACCTGCCCCCTGGACCCTATCCCCTCTCAACTCCTCCCGCACCTAACCCCCTCTTACCCCTCATCCGCTCCCTCACCCACATCTTCAATCTCTCCCTCTCTACTGGCGTATTCCCCTCCCCCCTAAAGCACGCGCATGTCACCCCCCCATCCTCAAAAAGCCCTCCCTGGATCCCGCGGACCCCAACAACCTCAGACCCATCTCCCTGCTGCCACTCACCTCCAAGCTCCTTGAACGCATAGTCTACGATCGCCTAAGCCATTAGTGGTCGGCAAGCCGCGGCTCGCGAGCCACATGCGGCTCTTTACAAGCTTAAATGCGGCTCTTCTGTGTGCCGGGCGCACCGCCGCTCCCCCCCCCTCCTCTCTCCTCCCCTCCCTCCTCTCCCTCCTCTCCCTCCTCTCCCTCCTCTCGGACGGGCGTGTGCTGGGCGGCCGCCCCCTCACCTCCCCTCCCCTCCCCTCCCCTCCCCCTCGGACGGCCCGCCCGCTCCCCCTCCCTCCTCTCGGGTCGGCCGCCCCAAAAGTCAGGACTCTGCAGCTGTCAGGATGTAGGCGGGGCAGCCAGGATGTAGGCCAGCGTGACGAGCTCCTCTCCTCTCACAGTCCGCCCTGAAGACCAGAACGGCGCGGGAAGCACGACGAGAGGAAAGAGCGCGGAGCAAAGGTAAGTGAATTGACACAGGGGGGACTTACTATATGGGGATGAATTTCTATATGGGGGACTTACTATAATGGGGGGGGACTTACTATATGGGGGAAATGCCCTTACTATATGGGGGGGGTACTTACTATATTGGGGATGAATTACTATATGGGGGGGACTTACTATATGGGGGACTTACTATATGGGGGACTTACTATATGGGGGGACTTACTATATGGGGGGGGACTTACTATATGGGGGATGAATTACTATATGGAAGATGAATTAACTATATGGGAGATGAATTACTATGGGGATGAATTACTATATGGGGGATGAATTACTATATGGGGGATGAAATGAAATTACTATGGGGGATGAATTACTATATGGGGGATGAATTACTATGGGGGATGAATTACTATGGGGGGATGAATTACTATGGGGGGATGAATTACTATGGGGATGAATTACTATATGGGGGATGAATTACTATGGGGGATGAATTACTATATGGGGGATGAATTGCTATGGGGGATGAATTGCTATATGGGGGATGAATTGCTATATGGGGATGAATTACTATGGGGGATGAATTACTATATGGGGGATGAATTACTATATGGGGGATGAAATTACTCTATGGGGGATGAATTACTCCTATTGGGGAATGAATTAACTATGGGGGATGAATTACTATATGGGAGATGTATTTTCAGTTTTAAAAATGTGGCTCTCAAAATAAATTTCAATCGTGGTTTAGCGAGATTTGGCTCAGTTGAAAAAAAAGTTGCCCACCACTGGCCTAAGCGCCCACCTTACAGACAATAACCTCCTTGACCCTCTACAGTCCGGCTTCCGTCCCCTACACTCCACTGAAACTGCCCTCCTCAAAATCACTAACGACCTACTCAACGCCAAAGCCAAGGGCGACTACTCTGTCCTCCTTCTCCTGGACCTCTCTGCGGCCTTCGACACAGTTGACCACCCCCTCCTCCTTTGCCATCTCCCTTGGCATCGGAGATACTGCTCTCTCTTGGTTCTCATCCTACCTATCCCGACGCTCCTTCAGTGTCACCTACAATGGTGCCACCTCCCCCTCCGACAAGTCCCTCCCCCTCTCTGTTGGGGTCCCCCAAGGCTCTGTCCTTGGACCCCTTCTCTTCTCCATCTACACCTCCTCCCTGGGCAAACTCATACAATCTCACGGCTTCAACTATCACCTCTATGCTGACGACACCCAAATCTACCTCTCCACCCCTCACCTCACCCCCACTATCTCCGCCCGCATCACTCACCTCCTAAATGACATCTCAGACTGGATGTCGCTACATTTCCTCAAGCTCAACCTCTCCAAAACCGAGCTCCTCATCTTTCCCCCTGCCAACACCCCCCCCCCCATCCTATCCATCATCACCAACAACTCCACTATCACTCCCGCCCCGCAAGCCAAAGTCCTTGGCGTCATTCTTGACGCGAACCTCTCCCTCCAACCGCATGTCAAATCACTCACAAACACATGCAGGCTCCATCTTCGCAACATTGCCAAGATACGCTCCTTCCTCACCCCAGACACCACCAAACTTCTAGTACACTCCCTCATCATCTCACGCCTTGACTACTGCAACTCCCCTCCTCACTGGCCTACCCAA